CCTGCATTTTAAAGACTAGTTCCTCTCTCTGCTTTTCTTTCCTCAGTTTTCTTGGGTACGGGTAAGTGAACCGCTCAAAATGCAAAGGTCATTAAACTATTTTGATTGGATGTGTTTCAGCAGGAGCTGGAATTTGGCAAGGAGGCTCCGATAATCTTGAAAAGACAGTTTCAATATTTGGTTCTGTGTCCAACGGCACTGATTTCCCGAGCCTCCTTCCAGGGCTAGGATGCCACAGTTTTATGACATAGAAAGAACAATGTGTATTTTATAAAACAATATAGAGAGACAAACAAAATCAGAAACAAAATCCTATAGAAGTCAAGTAATGCCCCAAGAATAAAAAGGGGCGCCAGGAAAAACATATACACATACGTGAATAATTAATTTCTTTTCTGGCTCTTCATTCTCCCCTCCTCCCTGATGGTCAAAGTTACCTAACAGTCAGGAAGCTAAACAAACTTTTACCTAAACAAAGGTAGAACCAAACCATGCCAGATCAAATTCTAGGTAAGCATTTCTGAACTGTGTTTTACCCTGGGGCTACTTGTGTTTTAACACAAGGTACTGGAAGGCTAGAAATGGCCCAAGAGTCAATGTAATATGAAATTTTGCATTACGTTTATTGTGATCATGTGTCTTGGGTTTTTCTGGCAGTCTGGATTCTAAGTAACTAGCTGCTTTGTCTCTTAAATGAATTTTTCATTCAACAGATATTCATTCATTCATTCATTCATTCACCCATCCATTCATTCATTCAACCAAACTACTTGCCATTGGTGCTGATCTAATTGGGCAGCCAAAAAGCAAAAACAAATCTTGGTCCCAAACAGCACAAAAAATTAATTTGAGTTGAATCATAGACCTAAATGTGAAGGTTAAAGCAACCAAGTTTCTAAAAAGAAAACAAAGGAGATGATACCTATGGCCTTACACCAGATAAAGATTTCTTAAACACGACATAGAAAGCTCTAGTCATAAAAAATAAGATTAACAAAGTAAACTTCTTTAAAATGAAGAATTTCTAATCAAAACCACACTGAGATACCACCTCACGCCAGTCACAGTGGCTAAAATGAGCCAATCAGAGAACTCTAGATGCTGGCGAGGATGTGGAGAAACGGGCACCCTCCTGCACTGTTGGTGGGAATGTAAACTGGTACAGCCCCTCTGGAAAACAGTGTGGAGGTTCCTCAGGAAACTAACAA